CAATGATTCACTTGCCTCAAATAAATGTGTAAATAAATATATGCTAATATCTTTTTTTATCAAAAAGTGCTTGGTAGTGAAGGGATTAATATACCTCAAGCCAACTTTCTTCATGATGGCAATAGCATAATAAACTTCAGAATTCATATTGAACTTTATTCAAAAGCATTATCGTCCTCAAACATAATAGATCAAATAAATATTTACCTTTACAATATGATCTTGTACATGCTTTCACTGACTAATGGTATATGGATCTCACACAGTTCTAGACCATAAGAGGGGATGAGATGTTGGAATGGGAAGATCTGGGCTGACCTATTGTTAGATAGGAGTGAGATGAAATGTATGTTTTTGTTTTTTTTTGTCATTATTTATTGTTTTACCGTTGTGAGAAGCAGTTGTGAAGATAGTAACAACGCACACAAAAAAGGGAATTGGGAATTGGGGCACACCTGGAACATGCATAAACACACACACAAAAATAGTTTTTTACTTACATACTTTTTCCACCTGCACTGTGAATGTGGCGCAGAAATAATTTAAGAATAAAGGACATCCCCGAAAAAGAGGGGGAAGATTTAAAGGTAACCCTCCAAGAACTATTTAATCTTATACTTCAAAGAGAAGTGTCGACCCCAATTACACTGGACAGAGCCCACTGGGCGCTCAGACCCAGAAACCCCACGGCAGAGGTGCCCAGAGACGTAGTATGCAGACTACACTAATACTCTCTTAAAGAAGACATACTCAGAAATCTCCGCCAGACAACGCAACCTCTTCTATTCCATGGGGCACCTGTGCAAATCTTCCCAGATCTCTCCTGGATGACGCTGCAGGCGAGGAGGATAATGAAACCCCTCACAGACCTACTACGCTCTAGGAACATAAGATACCATTGGGGATTCCCCCTGGCCCTTACAACTACACATAATGGTACTACAGCAACTCTATCCTCCTCAGAAGACGTGCTTCACCTCGGACGTACACATACCAGACTGGTATGGGCCGCTACAACCCTCACAACGCACACAAATGACCCACAAGCAAAGAGGGCAGACCCCATCCAAACGTAGAAGAAACGACCAAGCACACCACCAAGGAGGTTCCAGACCGAGAGCAGGCCCCTCATCCCACTGATGGGACCCAAGGCATGTGACGACGACCACCAGCTAAGAAACCACTGCCCTAATCAACAAGGACCCAAATAAGCTTTAAAGACCTAAAACAACTACCAACGATCCAGAAATTCGACCACGGAGATTGCAACACAAGACCCCACCCTAGGGACACGATACTTGAACATCACAAGGAAACCCACAAATCAAGTCATTTCCCACGGCAATCTAGATTTGTTCCGGACCGCAGGCTCTATGAAGCGGTGACTCTCCACTCTACCGAAATCCCTGGATAACATTGATTCCGGACTGAAAGACCACACTTTACCTTCAGGGACGAGGACATGCAGGAGCACGGGGCAATGATGCTTCGGAAGGGTATGAAATATGTATGTTATACCACAAATTAATGTATACGTAAGGGCTATGCTGACAAGCATAAGGCCCCCCCTCACCCCTTCAATCATCCTTTGCCCCCCCGTTAACCTAGCCCTCCCCCATCCCCACAAATACACTGAGAATTATCTCGTGAAGCACTATACTACTCCCGATCTCCTTCCCCCCTCCCCACTCTCTCACTAATAGCCCCTCAGCATCCCGGCAACAACCTCAAGGGATGCACCTTTGGTCAACTGAAATCTGATTGACTATCTTACTGGGAAACGTATACCATAATATGTCAATTAATTGTCTGTTTTCTATTTTCTGTTTGTTGGGAAAATTGCATATGATAGGGGAAAAATCTGCCTCATACAACAGTCCTAGTGTACACCCGAGCAAGCAATTGAGATGCAAACCTCCAACTACGAGGCAGAGCCCTCGCCCACTGGGACGAATAATGCTTACCCCTAAATTATTAGATAATCAGGTAGGGGCTGGCAGCTTCCAGCCCCCTCCCCCGACAATTGCTCACAGGATTGCCCGTCTCTCACGAGACACTTGGCAACAACACCCCATCCTACCACCTTTCACGAAAATAAAGCCTTGACAGCAGGTGGAAAGACTTACGCAGCCAAAGAGGTGCCCGTGCAACTCCCCAAAGGCTTCAGAGCCTCTCAAGGGAAAGCCACCGACTGACAAGGCTGCCAACTCTTCCCGTCAATCCTAAACGCCTCAATTTCTTGCTCCACCTGCATACATACAATTTTGTACATAGTTTATTTGTTATCGGTTATTTTCCCCTGGTACACAGTACGTGAGCGACAGAACACGCAGTTCACACACTTCCCACCATGGCAAACCTCAATATAGTTACCCTCAATGTCAGGGGTCTCAACTCCCCGACAAAACGATCACAAACGCTCCACGAACTCCACAAACTTAGAGCTGACGTGGCATTTCTCCAGGAGACCCACCTGAAGGCAGACTCCACTATTACTATCCGCAACAGACACTACCCCACAGGATACTTCAGCTCCTAAACAGACGCAAAATCCAGAGGGGTAGCCATCCTCATAGGGGCACAAACACCGTATACACACACGAACCAATACACAGACCCAAGCGGTAGGCTACTTACAATCAAAGGCAAAATTGGCAACACAATTGTAACCTTCACAAATGTCTACTTGCCAAATACCAAACAAAACAAGCACCTACGTAAATACCTCAACATAATCGAAAAACATGTCGAAGGCATTCTAATACTGGAAGGTGACCTAAACATGTCCCTTGACTCGGAATTAGACACTACTTCCAGCTTCACGAAATACAACGCCAATACCCGAACCACGATGTCCAAACTATTAGATAAATCTCATCTGTTCGACTGCTGGAGAACTATACACCCACAAAGACGAGACTACTCTTTTTACTCAACGGTCAAACACACATACTCTCGACTGGACATGCTATTCGTCCCACACAGACATATACACTTAACTCAATCATGTGAGTATGGCTCGATCACATGGTCAGACCATGCCCCCTTGTCTCTAGTTTTTCAAATCCCAACTCTGACACCTAACAATTTCCAATGGAAACTAAATGATACCATGCTAAATGACCCAGCCACGGTCGATACACTTACAACTACATTAAAACACTACTTTGAGGACAATACCTCCCCGTCCATATCCCCGACAATAACCTGGGAAGCCCATAAATCAGTAATGAGAGGACACATCATAGCTATAGCCTCCAAACTCAAGAAAAAGAAAGCTGCTCAAATCACTGACCTCTTGTGAGATATCCGCCAAATTGAACAGACACACAAAAACAACCTTTCTCTAGACCTCTACAAACAGCTAGTTGACAAACGCACGACCCTACAGACCTTGTTAAATTCCAAAATCAAAAGAATGCTCACTCACACCAAATACTCCTTTTACACTCAAGGAGGAAAATGCGGGCGAATGCTAGCCAAAGCCCTTCAACAGAGCACACAACGCACATACATAACCACAATCAAACACAGAGACGGGACACGCACCACCTACTTCCAGCCATACTTAAAGAATTCCACGCCTTCGACACAAACCTGTACAACCTTAGACAAAAGCCGCTACGACCAGAGGAAATCACCTATTTCCTCTCTAACCGGATCACACAAACGATCCCCACAAACATAAGACAGTCAATTGAAGGACCCCTAACGGACGAAGAATTTAGAATGGTAGTTAAAAACCTCCCTGTAGGCAAGAGCCCAGGACCCGATGGCTACACTACCAAATATTACAAAACCTTCACAAACCTGCTTTGCAAACCCTTTGTCACTGCCTTCAACTCACTTGTCTTAGGACACAAACTCCCAGTGGAATCCCTAGAAGCCCACATCACACTGATTCCCAAACCCGGAAAGGACCCACAGGAATGTGGCAGCTACCACCCAATTTCTCTAATAAATTGTGACTTGAAAATCTTCACTAAGATTCTTGCCAACCGTCTGAAACCATTCCTGAATGGACTGATACACCCGGATCAATCAGGGTTTGTACCGAGCAGGGAGGCCAAGCACAATACTACGAAACTCCTAAGCTTAATACACACAGCCAAAGGAAAAGGACCCCAGAGTCTCATTTTAACTATAGATGCCGAGAAGGCTTTTGATAGGGTAGACTGGTCCTTCCTCAAGGTCACAATGAGAACTCTGGGCTTCGGCCCAAAATGGATAGAATGGCTCGCAGCCATATATTCGGGAGCACGAGTACGAGTGAACGGCCAGTTATCAGACACTATACAAATAACCAATGGTACAAGGCAAGGTTGTCCCCTCTCCCCACTCCTATTCATCCTCACCATGGAGCCATTCCTACAAGGAATAAGAGATAACCCAAATATATCTGGCCTTAAAGTAGCAGAGCAGGAATACAAGGTCTCTGCTTTTGCGGACGACCTATTGTTCACTCTATCCAATCCAAAAACATCACTACAACAACTAATACAAGAAATAGATGCATATAATATAGTCTCCAATTACAAAGTAAACATGAGCAAGAGCGAAATACTCCCGCTCAACATGCCGGTCGACACACAAACAGTGCTCCGCTCAACCTACCCATTCCACTGGCCCACAGAGTCAATTAGATATCTGGGAGTCCAACTCACAACCACACTGTCACGTCTATATGCCCTTAACTACACAACCCTTCTAAACAAAGTAGATACAGAACTTAAATCGTGGAATAAACCACAATTCGGTTGGCTTTGCAGAATCCACATCTTAAAGATGATGATTCTCCCCAAGTTTCTATACATAATGCAAACCTTACCTATCAAAATCCCACGGCCCTTCTTCTCCCTCTCCAGGCGACTATTCACCAACTTTATATGGACAGGTAGACCCCCGAGGCTACAATATGAATGCCTCATAAAAAGCAAGTAATGAGGAGGACTAGGCCTACCAGATCTAGAAACATACCACGGGGCCATCATCCTCACGAGGATTTATGAATGGTCATACCCTAAAAACACAGCCCAATGGGTACGGATTGAGGCCAGTTTCTTCACGACACCAATATATGCCATACCCTGGCTTGACAACAGGACCAAACCGAAAACGCGCTCAGGGACATCTCATCCCACAATCACACACACAGTGAAACTTTGGTCAACCATTAGGAGAGACGAATACCTCGCACCACACCCTTCACCACTCTACCCACTAACAGGAAACCCCTCCTTCCCCCCAGGTATGGACCACAGAGCTTTTCAAAATTTCCCCAAACAAGCACACACACTGACTCTGGGAGATGTCCTAAATGACCATGGGGTCATCCCCTTTGAACAACTACTACCCATAGAATCACAAACGGGAATGACACGACTGAGACATTCACAACTCAAACATTTTCTGAACACAGACCCACCACTATCACAAGGCTATAGAACTCACACTCTATACGAGACCCAATGCGCCCAACACAACATCCGGAGGGGCCACATCTCCGCCTTCTACAAACAATTGTGCCGACGAACAGAAGAACTCCTACCAACCTACACAACCAAGTGGGAAGCGGAGCTGGGGATACAAATGCAAGCCAAAGAGTGGCATAGAATATTCACCAACATCTTCCACACATCTAAAAGCAACAGCACACATGAGAGCAATTACAAATGAATAGCCAGATGGCACTACACACCAACCCGCATCCACAGATTCTTCCCCAATGCACCAAACACGTGTTGGAGGTGCAATAGGGCGGAGGGAACCACAAACCACATCTGGTGGCAATGCCCAATAATAAGTAAATATTGGGCCCAGATAACGGACATTATTCACACTATCACGGGACACAAACTACCCCAAGACCCTAAAGTCCTGTTGTTTTTAATGTACCCCCGCCCCCTACCCAAACACTCACGCACACTGATCAACCACCTTTTAACGTCAGCAAACGCCGCCATCCCAACCAAATGGAAGCAAACCACACCCCCAACGATCAGAGCCTGGATAGAAAGGGTAGACTCTATCAGAGAAATGGAGGAACTATCGTACTCCTTTTCACTCAAATACGACGTTTACGTGGCCACATGGGCACCATGGTTAACATTCATACGTAAAGGAGATCCCACAACTTAGACCAGATCCTCCCACCTCACAAGACCAAACCAACCACAAGACACAAGAACCCGGACCCTCAACCGGCCTCCCTGGGCAAACACCTCACAGAAGACAAAATGACGATTTCATAATAGGCCTCTCCAAACCCCAAACACCCACAAACAGGAGCAAACACTACACACACAAAAAGCACCAACACCCCAAAGCGAGATAATACTGGGACATGGACCATGCCCTTGTTAAGGGATGGGTACACACCTTCACAAGGGGTACAGTTCCATCCACTCAAACAAACAAATATATAACAGTGCAACAATCCACACTGACGAGGTTCTGCACTATGGCTGTACATACCAGTAATACCAGGAAATTTTAACACCACCCCTTCTGTTCTCCCCTTGTTTGTTAACAATACTCCACCCATGCAAACGGTGATATGTTTTCAGCATCCTGACGAGACACCCGCTGCATAGTAATTGAATAACTGCTAAAACCATACCGCACTCGAGCAATCATTTAAATTGTAACGCATACAAACAACTGCTAAGACTGCAATGTGCCCGAACAGTTACTAAAACCATTCTATACTCTAACGATTGTTAGCATTGTATTACATACAAATGTTCGCTAAAACCATACTGTACTATTGTAAAACAAGTGTTGTAATCTTGAATTATCACCCAATAAAAATTATAAAAAATAAAAAATAAAAAAAGTACAGTTTTCGCATTTAACTTTTTCTTCTTCAATTTAAGCAGCTCCTGTGCTAGTAGGCTCTTCATCGATGGAGATGCGGACATTATTTAATTTAAATTATCCGGTATAAACATGCATAAAGTAAAAATATACATTTAAGTACATGTTTAAAAAAAAAAAAAAAGCCCTCCTTTCTAAAAAATGTTTTGCACTTGCTCTAAAAAATTGAGTTAATGTGGCACCGGTGGGCGGTAAGGACATTTTACCATCAAAAAAGATACATAAGTGGGCGGTAGGTATTAAAGGGTTGACGACCCCTGCCATAGTGCTATGATAACCTTTACTATAGTTTGAGTGATAAGTAGCCAACCTCATCCTAACACTATACACACTTCAGACTTTTAAAAAATGCAAATAGATGTTCCACCTCATGAAATCTTGAGTGTGTGCATGTAGGCTTATTTAAACAGTAAAATATAAGAGTAAAACCATTATAGTCTACAACAAAAAAGGTGGTGTGTGAGGTGCATGCTCAGAAGGGCCTCGTCATGCAGTCAGAGACGGAACAGAAAGTATCTTCTGGATAATTTACTATTTTCATGGGAAGTTGAAATTACTAGTAGAAATAAGTTTCCTTTCATTTTGTGTATGACAGAGCCCATTTAAAAAAGTCAGAGGACTACAATGTGCTTTGCTTATGTTTTCAAAGTTATCATAGGTCAACACAGATATTCATATCTTGTTTATTGGCTCCAACTGAGCCAAGTAATCTGCATATATGATTACCAGCATAATTAGTTAAGTAATATCTGATTATTCTAGGCTTGGTTTTATATTGATGTCAAAGCAATGTATTGAGTTAGAACCTATTTAATCTTTAAGTGAGATTTTGCATGCCTTGTCGTTTGATTGCATTATATATTTGCATTCAGTTATCGATTTCTTAAAGAAATACTCCAAGCTCAAGAACCTCTGTTACTCGCAGTAGAGATTTTGGTGCTAGGAATATACTGGCAAAACTCCATTGTAATTAGTTCAACTGTTTTAACTACTTACATTGGGGAGATGGGCACAAGGACCCCTGGCACCATAAACACATCAGAAAGTTGAGAGTGGTTATGGTGCTTAAAACGCTCTTTTAAAGTGGAATTATCACTTCTCAGGAAGGAACAGTTAATCTTTCTCTTTCATCATTCAAGGCTTCTTGTGCGTTTGGTAGAAAACTCTCAAGATCGATAGACAATCCAGACTTGTCAATCCAGGGAGGGGTATCTTAGGAAGGCTGTTTCTACGCTCCTAGGTAATAAGTGGCTACTGGTGGAAACTTCACGCTGGGCTTCAAGCATCTTGCAGTGTGTGCCTCTCCATTCTTCCTCCAGACTCTGGATCCTTGGTTTCCAAATGAGATGCAAAAGTTGCTCTCATCAGAAAAGAGGACTTTGGACCACTGAGCAACAGACCAGGTCTGTTTTTCTTTAGCCCAGGTAAAACGCTTCTGATGTTGTTTGTTGTTCAGGAGTGGCTTGACAAGAGGAATACGACATCTGAAGCCCATGTCCAAGATCCGTGTGTGTGGTGGCTCTTGATGCACTGACTTCAGCCTTAGTCCACTCCGTGTGAAAGTCCACAACACATTTGAATGGCCTTTTCCTGACAATCCTCTCCAGGCTGCGGTCATCCCTGCTGCTTGTGCACCCTTTTCTTCCACACTTTTCCCTTCCACATAACTTTCTATTAATGAGCCTTAATACAGCACTTTGGGAACATCCAACTTCCTTCGCAATTACCTTTTCAGGCTTTCCCTCCTTATGGAGGGTGTCAATGATGGTTTTCTGCACAACTATCAAGTCAGCAGTCTTCCACATGATTGCGATTCCTACTGAACCAGACTGAGAGACCATTTAAAGGCTCTGAAACCCTTTGCAGGTGTTATGGCTTACTTAGCTGATTAGAGTGGGACACTGTGAGCCTAGAATATTGCACCTTTTCACAATATTCTAATTTACTGAGATTGTGGATTTGGGGTTTTCATGAGCCGTTAGCCATAATCATCGCACTTATGACAAATCACGGCTTGAACTATCTTGCTTTGCATGTAATGCGTCTATCTCATATATTAGTTTCCCCTTTTACGTTTTACTAAAAATAAATGAACTTTTGCATGATATTCTCATTTTTCGAGTATCACCTGTATATATGGATTAACAGACACATACTTGTAACAAGATGCTCACGGTGCCTATAGAGATATTGGCTACACCTCACTGCCAATGCCTAGCAAGGTTGAAACGATTGTCTGGGGTTGCTGTATCTCTCGTGCAGAGAGAGCTGGCGTGCATTTTGGATCTGTCCTGCCCTTTTGGGTGGAATCAGTCTGATATGAAAATGGCCTGGTTCTGTTTGTAATGGAACAAGATGAGCCAAAACCAGCTTGAGACCCCCACCGAAGGCCAAGCTATATGAGATGTTGTCCTTTCTCAATATTCTCTTTCACCCTGTTTGTCGATCTCCCACATGAGTTGAAGGCATAAGGCCCTGCTCAATGAGCATACATGCTAGATGTTACCTTTTCATGTTGAATATTCTCAATCAACACCATCGGGTTTAAATTAATTTAATAGTTTCTTCAGGTTGCCCCAGAATGGTCAGATGGTAATTTAACTTAAAAAAAACAAAAACAGCTTAGAGTTGAATAATAATACTTTAATAATACATATATATTAAATAATATAATAATACATATATTTAGCAATTGGGTTGTGCCAAAATCCAACTGATCTGCTTTAAGATAAATATCATAAGATGGGAAAGAGGTAACTAATGGTATATTGCCTGTATATGGCAATGAAACATTTAATTTGTATATTTTTCAGCTTATCTAATTACATTTCTCACACAGGAAATTACATATTTCAAGTGAATTTCAAATATGTGATAAGTTAGGTAATGTTATGTATTGGCTACTAATGAAGCTTATTTTGAGATAAATATTTAATCAGACTTTCTGTAATATTGTGAAGTATTAAGAGCGATTGAAATTATTATACTTTATTACATAAAAGCTTCTTATAAATTGATCTCTTTAGAATTCTCAGCATCAATGCGTTCTGTATTTCCTTTCTTTCCTGCAGTGATTTTTTAAAATAAATAATTCTATTATACATTTTTTGGGTGAACATTAATGTATTAAAGCCCCCCAGGCTGCTATTTTTTTTGGGGGGGGGAGGTGAAAATCCTCAACTTCATACTAAGTATTGCAGGGGTGACCGAGCTTATTATAGCCTACATTTTTAAATTCGTTGAAGTTTCATTTTATAAAAAATTTTGTTTAATAAGTTTTTGTCTATCAAAGTCTTGTGTACATCACATACTTTGTATTGATTGTATACCTCTAAGATCGCAGAGTTTTTTTCTTTGTTGTCTTTACATACTATTTAATTTACTGCCATTCACAATGTTCAGCCACTCTATAAAACCTGCACTTTGAATCAGTATTTTGTTTGCAGTTCCTTTAGCTTTGAAATAAAACAACTACCATTCTTCATATTCCATTGATGTACATTTCATAGCTCTGCAGTTGAGAAATGGTAAATCATTTGGATGGAGAAAAAGAGATATACGTTTCCTTTTCATAGCAAAAGTCGGAACACCTAATGGAGTCATAAACGTCCTCTTTTTTCAATTTGAATCCGTGGCTGTCACTTAGGTTTTTATTTATTTGACTGCTTTGGTATATAAATGTAGGTTGTTGGGTACAGAGAGCTATGTGACTGGGTATATTTGTGAG